CAAAGTCATTAGGATTCACCATTTCATCCACAGAAATTAATTTATTTCTTTTATTGTTGATCCTTATCATGCTGACCTGTTTCACAATCTGCTTTTTCCTGCTGTTTCATCTTTCTGCTGTGTCATTCTATTGGCTAAAAATAGATGTTTGGAGAAATTTCTGTTCTCTCTTTGAATATTCTCCTCCACAACAGGATCTCAGTCCTTTAGTGTAGTTTGCAGGCACCACAATAAAATAAATAGTAAATAATTATAATCATAATGCAGGCCACCATGATTTCAAGAAGGCCAGACTTTATTAAGAGAATAAATTATTCCTTGATTCTTTGCAAGATCCTACAGTGTGTAGAGCTAAGAGGTGAAAACTATCTCAATTCTGATTAAGACCTGAAGTGTTTTCATGCAATACATTCAGAATATGTGTTAAAATGTTGAAGTTTCATGCCCTCCTTTACTTAGAAAAGCAGCAGTTTCGCAGTAAAGTTACAGCCTCAATCTGGCACAGCAACACTGCACTGCAGCTAAGAGATACTTGATCCCCCTTGCTCTTTGAAAGAACAAGCCCATATAATCCAAACACTGCCCTACAACCAGTACATTTCTTTGAAGCATTTGTATTTCTAAGCAGCAAATTCTTTCCATGTCCCAAATGCTGTATTTACCATGAGTGTACACACAAAGTGGCTGATGAGAGCCTTCATAGATTCTGTACACTTTTAAGTGGTATGACCTGGATTGACATGAAATGGTCCATAAAGCTCATATTCTATATATAATAATACTGTTAAACTTTACAGCTAAGGTCCTGAAAAATCAGTGTTTGCCTCCTTATGTAACTAATGTCAAAACCAGCAAGCTCAGGAAAGTAATCACTGCAGCTTGTTTCCTGGAAGATATCTCTGGGTTTATACATTAAAAACCACACTTTGTCTGGCTTTCCCCCATAACTCCTTTTTTTTTCTGTCATTGGTGAGGAAAAAGTTAGATAAGGACAGTAAAAGACTGGCTGTGCTACTCTTTGTGTCAGCTGTGCAGTGGAAAGGACAAAGTACAGAAAAACTAAACGGGGACCTGACAATTGAATTGTATTTAACCAGGCAAAGAGTGCTACGGTGGCAATTATCCCAGCCTCACCAATATCCCTAAAACTTCAAGAGATATCTCTACAATAATTTCAAGGAAATGCTACTGCCAAGATCTCATTTTCATTTAGGGATAAAAAATAAGCTTGTGGAAAAAAGGGGCAAATAGGTGGAAGAAGGGGAAACTGCTGTATTTTCTTCAACGTCACCCTAATCTCCATTGGTGTAAACGATGAGAAACTTGTGGGTATGACGTCACTGCTACATGCAACATAAATAAAGAAAAGAACCAAAATACTGAACAAAAATACTCTCTGCTAGAGAAAGACAGGTTGGACCGCACTCTGGGCTACAGGGAACCCATTTTTACTCACAATAGATCACTATCAGTGTGCAGTTAAAATATAGTAGGGGCCGTGTTCCAAGGCAGCAAGAGGAAAAATAAATCAAAAGTTTGTCAATTGTCATCGATTACAAGAAATTCCGTCAAACACATCAATGTACACATGATTTGTCCCCTCTGGGGTTCAACCCCCACCGTTCACAGCAAGCACTGTCACTGGAAAAAATATATAGAGAATTAGACCACAGCCGTTGCACAAAATGAAAGAAACAGGAGGAATAGGTCATCCAGTTTAGAGATTTCGTCCCAAAGTGGTTGCGTTCTATATAAATATATACATGTATCTGGCCTCTTGCTGCAAAAACTACAGTTAAATGGATAAGGAAAGAGATTTATAACATTAAAAAAAAGTAACAATCTGCAAATAAAACTTCCACACAAGTATTTCTTTGGACAATATGCCATCAGCATTTATGTGTTATTCGGGGAGTGGGATGGGTAAGAAGAAAGGGATGGCAAAGAAACTGCAAAAGGAAAGCAGGATTACGTGAATTATCCTTGGCCTTGTAGAAATGTACTGATCTGCCCTGAATTATTAATTTTAGGCCTGACAAGTTTGGACAAATGGCTATGTAGGTCAGACTCACGTTTAGACCCCAACAATACCCCAAGCTAATGTTCAGAAGGTATCTAAATTGAAGTGCAACCTCAAATACATTATTAAAGAATGTGGTTTTTAAGCATTATGGGAAGCTGCATTAATTAAAGCCACCACAATTAAGTTTTCCATGTAAAGATAGTTTTTCACATTTCAACAGAATTCAACAGAATTTAATTCACCTGGATGTGTCAGTATCTTTACACACAACCTTTCCTTTCATCTTACATATTTTCCACATTCAGCTGCCTCTAATTACTATGTTACTTGCTCATTAAAGCATGTATTTGTCATAGAGAACTATACAGATGCATGTGTCAAAAATCAAACTGGCATAGTGACATAGTACATGTTGACAGAGCAGCTGACAGTTTCCTAACGCAATAGGGAAAAAGTTTCCTCAATTTATACTTCATTTTGGTTAGAACTGCATTTTTAAGACCAATGATTTGCATCGTTTACAGATGGATAACATACATAAGTTTTTTCAAAAGTGCTCAGTGATTTGAAAGCTAAAACATTTTATGTGAATAACAGACTGCACTAAAGACTTACCTTAAAAACAAACCTAAACCCAAAAAGCAGATTCCGTAAAAGGGATTTCAAAATTGTCAATAAAAATTGAGAAACAAAAATCAGTAATTACTATTAAAATTTTTAATTTATTTTTTTCTGCTGGCTGACAGCTCTTTAAAAGCAAAGTAATTGCCTTATTTCTAATACTGGTGAGCATGCTCCTCATTGAAAGCTGTTCTCAGCTCTACTACAAGCTGCCTGCTGTCGTGGTATCTGTGACCCCTTGCATCTAAAAAACAGCAGGAGATAGGGCAGACTAAGGAGAGGGGAGACAAAAGGGAAATTTATAATTTATAATTTATAATCATATTTTAAATTTCATTCTGACTGACCATTATACTTCACCTGACTCAGAGGATTCCCTCAGTGTTCAGTGCTCACTGCACCACCTCTGCCAGCCACCTCCTTCTTCTGCCTCACTAACTCAATCATTTTGTTTGTTCATCTGCCCAACACCCTTTCATTTACTGGACTGGTATGTGTGACCATGCCATTTGTAACCCTTCTGACTGCTACTTACAGAAGTTGCTGCTCTTGCCTCTCCATGGCCCTACTGCTGGTAATATCCACTGTGTTGGCTGGGTCATACCCTGCTTCCTCCCAGGTTTCAACATACTGAGAAGGTTACCTTGATTCTCATTAATGTATAATAAAGGGCTCTTAACCTCTACAATGTGAGTTCCTGATTCCTATCTTCTAAGAGATGACAATGAAAAGTGTAGTTCTCACATTAAACTCAGAGATCTTTGGGATTTATTCTTTTTTTAAGCATGACATGTTTAAAAAGCATACACCATGTGAAGGAGAAGAAAATAGAAATAATTTTTTTGTTACTGTTGTTTTTTGTTTTTTTTTCTGACAGAACCAGATAAAATGAAGCAGGTAACATATTTCTCTTTAACTGTTGAGTAATTTGGAAAAAAGATTTCATTTGAGAGTTACAGGCACCCTGAGGCATCTGTAACTGGCTTCACCAGAACTTACTCAGCAGACTCATTGGCTTTGGCAGCAGTTCAAAGGTCACATTCTCACATGGATAAACTGTTCTTGAACAATTTTTTTCCAATATGTTAGGCAATGCATACATTCCTTCCACATCAGGCATGCTTTCCATGTGCTTTGCTCTCCTTGTGGCTACTGGGAAGATAAATACCATTTTCTGTCAGTTCCAGCTGCTTTCTCCCTATCATACTATTGTTCCACACTCTTGGTGTTTTGGAGGAGAGGAGTTTTTTAAAAAACCTCCAGTGATACTTTTTTTTCTTTTCAAAATGATCTTCAAGAGTTCATCCACTTCAGATGGTACTTCAGTACTCCAAAAGGCAGAGAATGTTCAGCTTAGGCTTTCTTCCATCCTCTGTAGTAGTGCACTGATAACACAGACTCAAGCTACAAATAAGAGAGCTTTTTCCATTTTAAAAGTAATGGTAAAATAGGCATGATCAAATTCTTCTGAGATCTTTCAATTTACCTAATCAGTACTTTAGAACTGAATGATCTTTTTATGGCAGAATACCATGGAAAACATAAATATTTATATATTCAATGAGAAATTGTTTCCTAAATAATTTTGCTTCAGTATTACAAATATGCATGGGTCAAACACATCTTTGTTCAAAGTGTGGTTGTGATAGTTCCTGAAATGGGTCATTTCGAAGTATATATGGGTAAAATGCTGATTGCTGCATATTTATAGAAATTCAGATGCAAAGTCTCATCTCCATTCAAAAACTCAATTATTTCTCCATGAAAAACTGTCCAAACAGTTTAAGAACTTAACTAAACCTTATATTAGCATTAGAGCTAAAAGGATATATGTAGGAGGCACTAATGTTTAATTTATTCCACACAACCCTTTCCTCCAGTAAAACAGTTCATTTATTTCAACCAAAATTTATATAAATAGCTACATGATAAAATACAATTCCCTAGTTTCTTCTTTTGCAGAATCAGGTTCATCAAGACAGAAGTTCTTTACTTTACAGAAAACTATTGAAATTACTGCATTTCTGCATGTTATGAATGAGAGGAAAAACTTTAGTGTTGGCTAATTCTTAAGTCAGAAACCTCCAGTTAGATTCTATCTTGACTTGATTCTTCAGTTTTTGTTAGCTTTGGACTTCAATTTACTTTTTAATGAAGACACAGGTGTGAGTGATGTGAAATGTAATAAAAACACATGGAGTTCAGAAACCCAAATAGCACTTACTATGTTGCTGTGCATGTATTTCTTAGCTTTTCTGTACCATTGTGTAAAACACATAAATGCATGTGCAGGTATTCTTCAGGGCTGAACAGTTCACGAAAAGGAGAGGAAGGGAGGGATAGAAATATTACTTACGCCGTTTGCAGCCACATTTTTTTATCCTTTTTGGATCTGTGATGTCATCATGACAGGCCTTGCAGTAAAAATATGCCCTGGAGAGACAGAATGGAAAAAATGACACATTTCTTAATCCATATAAATGAAATTAGTCCCATATTTCCTCTTGTTCCAGTGACCAATTAATGAAACACGCCAATGCTAATTTCCTTTAATCTTTGAAAAGGTTTGGACATTTAAAGCAGGAAATATTTACTGCAAGACCATCAATTTCAAATATAAGGCTCCAAATTAGTATTTCTTTTAATATACTTTTATTTAAAAAGTAATTAGAAGAATGTATGATAATTATGCCACAGTGTATTAGTTCATTTGTTTTTCATCTCAGAGAAAAGAGCATCCAACAAACTTTGTCACAAAAAAAGAATTTTTTGTTCTTATCAGCTATACCAGGGTGATTTTTTTTAAAGACTGTCTAGCATCCTGTGCCAGTTTTTCAGGTTGAACATTTGATTGTTACTGTATGATCAACACTGTACGGGCAAGTAAGGGCAGAAACAATGACCCTGGGAGCTATCAGCCCATCAGCCTCACCTCTGTGCTGGGAAAGATCATGGAACACATCCTCCCAGAAGCTGTGCTGTGGCTCATGGAGGACAGGCAGGTCATTCCAGACAGCCAGCACAGCTTCACCAAATCCTGCCTGCCCAACCAGCAGCTTTCTGTGGTGGCGTGACTACATCAGTGGATAAGGAAGTGCTACAGATGTCATTTATCCAGACTCCTGTAAAGCCTTTGACATGGTCCCTCACAACATCCTTCTCTCCAGACTGGAGTGATGGGTTCCATGGGTGGATTAGGAATTGGTGGGATAGTCGTGGTCAGTGGCTCAGAGTACCACCAGGCACTAGTAACAAGTGGTGTCCCTCAGGGTTCTATACTGGGTCCAGTGTTACTTAATACCTTCATTAATGACACAGAGGCATCAAGTGCACCCTCAGCAAATTTTCAGATGACACCAAGCTGAGTGGTGCTTTGGCCACACCTGAAACACAGAATATCAACCACAGGGACCTGGACAGGCTCAAGAATTGGGCCTTGGGAAACACAAGTGGTTTAACAAGACCAAGTGCAGGGTCAGGGCAGCTCCCAGTATCAATCCAGGGGATGAACAGATCCAGAGCAGCCCTGCTGAGGAGGATTTGGGGGTGATGGTGGAAGAGAGGCTGTACACGAGCCAGCAATGTGCACTCACAGCCCTGAAAGCCAAATGTGTCCTGGGCTGCATCCAAAGCCCCGTGGGCAGCAGGACAAGGGAGGGAACTCTGCCCCTCTGCTCCACTCTGGTGAGACCCCACCTGCAGTGTTGGGGCTCCCTAGCACAGGAAAGACATGGACCTGTTGGAGTGAGTCCAGAGGAGACCCCCTCTTAGACAGGTTAGAGAGATCTTGCAGGAAGGAGCACTTCTCCTACACTGAAGGGCTGAGAGAATTGGGATTGCTCAGCCTGGAAGAGAGGAGGCTTCTGGGTGACACAAGTGTGGCCTTCTAGCACCTGAAGGGAACTTAAAGGTAAGATGGGGCAAGAGTATTTACAAGGGCTTTTAGAAACAGGACAAAGGGAAATGGGTTTACATTGAAAGAGGGAGGGTACATTTAGATTCAATATTAGAAAAAAGATCTTGTCTATGACAGTGGTGAGACACTAGAACAGGTTGCACAGAGAAGCTGTGGATTGCCCATGCCAGCACAAGAAGAATTAAGGAAGTGAGAAAAAATAAACTTTTAATTTTGTATAAGATTTTCTAGAATTTCTGATTTAATAAGTATGCATCACACTGCCCACAGGAGCATTCAATCATGACCACCAAGTCAACATGTCCTGTAAGGCTGCCATGACACTTTTCATGAGGATCATCCAGCTGGACTCTAGAACAACAGTTACAGTTCTTGCTGGCATAGCAAATGAAACATACTTTTTAACCTGATGAATTTTCCCGGCCCTTGTCCCCACTCAGGATAGGTTAGCTCCCTGCCTATCTTCCCAACTCCCTCTTATTGCATATTTCTCAATATAATTTGGCAGTAAGAGGCAAAGCCCCCACTTTGCAACCACCCACGTATTTTGCTGACAGTAAGATCGTTAGATTGCTACAACAGTTGGGAGGCCACTGAAACAAAACAATCTACAGTCCAAAATATGAAAAACACCAAAACCAAACCAATATTAATACACAGCCTCTAATTAAACACAGTCTTTGGCCCTGCAGCCAGGATGATTACTCCTATTTCTTCTAGATTAACTACAGCACGGCCACTGCAGGTAGAACTATACTGGTGGTTAAGTGACCCATCATGAGAAAGATAGCAGGCCTAGCACACAAGAGATGAAGCATATCAATGCTTCAGATTTAAATTGCAGAGAGACCTCACTGATGCTATTAAAACATTTCTAAAATCAATATAGCATGATGCTACCAATGGAATATATAAGTCCTAAACACAGCACACTTTATTTCTCTAGGAAACTTCCAGGAAGATTATTCCTGCAGGCTGTGAAATTGCCTTAGTATTTCCAAGATGCAAAATGTAAAAGGAAAATATCTTCTCTGAGCATGTATACTTTGCTGCAGAAATTTTCTGGTCTTTAAGATATTCACATTCCAGCAAAAAGAAAATAAACTATTTCCACGGAAATGGGAAGAAAATGTTTTTCAAACCTTGAGTCGATGTCAAGATGTAAGCCAGGAGGAGAAAACTGCCTCAAAATTTACAATTTCTCTCCAGTCCATCTGTAAAGTCCCTTTATTAAACGAGAATCAACTACCACAAATAGTCCCTTCACAAAAACTTCATAACATGAACTGGATATTGGTAATTTCTAGAGATCTATTTCTGATCTCTAAATCAGACAGTGCAGGACAATTGTCCTAAAAGGTACCTTCAATCCTATGTCCAAAGTAAAGAACAAATACCTGAAGTGATTGCTGTAATAAAATTATTCTAGAAAACTGGGGTTTTCTGATGCTAGCACTAACATGTAAATGGATAAAGAGTAACGAAGAAGCAATTCATATAGTTTGTATTATATTTAAACAGTCAAGATTCTGTGTGAAGCTATTTACCTAGGCATAATTGTTTGTAGGTATAATTGCTTCTTATGGGAAACTGCTCTTCTAAAAATGCAAAAGTGATTCTAACATAAAGAATAATTGAACATCATATGTTATATTTCACTGTGGGATATATAAATATGAATAACTTTAGCTTAAGGGAGCTGAAATGTCTTCATTAACAAAGCCAGAATAATTTAATTTGCATTTCAGGTATAAAACATGTTTAATTATGCTTTATTAAAAAATCATTTTTCCCCTCCAAAAGACCTCAATTTTAGAACATATTTCTGACTCTGATTCATAGCTCAAAGGGTGAAATTAACACTTTTCATAATTGGCTTTGTTAGTTGAAACACATCTGATAACCATTTACTTTGCACAGAGCAGCTAAGAAATGTGGCAAGGGAGGCAGGATATTTCTAAACACAGCCTTCTGCCAAAAGCCGGGCAGAACTGGGAATCTTGTTTCGTGCTCACTATCAAATAAAACATGGCAGATGAATGATGTGAAAAATTTGTCTAAACTCCTTAATAACAGTTAACTTCTCCCTAACCTTAGCAGTTAAAAATACTACACCATTTTACTTCCAGTCTGAGAAAAAGTTAATTGGAGAGTGTAAAATGCCTTATAAATGAAAGAAAACTAGCAGCTCAGTAAAGCAGTGTGAAGAAAGTTCTGTATATTCAGCTGGAGAAAAGCAGCAGAGAGGAAAAGAACTGAATGCTGTAAGCAGAGTCCCTGAGGCAGTGCAGGGTGCTCCTGCTCCAGGGATGCTGCTACAGATGTGACAGGACAGGAGCTCCCTGCTCTGCATGTCTCACCTAGGCAAAAACTATCCTAGCCCTTTCAAGGAAAACAAAATTCAAGTTCTCTAATTTCATTGTGTTGGTGCTTTGATTTTCTTTAAGTATTCAGGGCAAGTATGCATAGTTAGGTATTATTTCACTATATTTAAACCTAAAAGGTTGGAAGTTAATAAAGGGTATAATTTGAATACTTTATAATTTTAAGTATAAGATTTAGCTAAAATACAAAACTTACAGAAAACATCGGTAAAAACCTGATTGCATGACTCATAACAAAGATATAAATTATGAGGAAGCACTCAGCTGCAAATATTACTTTTTTTTTTTTTAATCATAGGGACATTGATTTTTCTTTGAAAAATTATTTTAGCGTATCGCTCTTTTGTTCCTTCCAAGCATACTGTAATCCTAAAAACATGAGTACACATATTTGTTTCTCAACACAAGATCATGAAACTCCTTTTCGTTCATTCCAAATCTGGTAAAGCCAGGTACATTGAGCCTGTGAAGTTGTCTGCAATGGATATAATGCACTTTTGTAGTTTGATTTATTATTATGAGGCCATAGAGTTTGTAGATCCGTTAAAGAAAAATGACAAGAACATAAATATTATTTTGCTAATGCAGTTACAGAATGAACTCCGTAGCTCACATCAAGAATTTGCTAAAGTCAGTGTAGACAAGAACTCCTCTAAACCCAAAAACTAACAGAACTGTCATCTCTGTCCTCCTCTCCCATCGTAATTCCTCTTAGATTCAATAAGTATAGAGAAAACAAATGAAAATATTTCACATTTTCTAGGAGGGCTCAAAAACCTAGCTTCTTTATTTCTTTTTATATCTGCTGCAAATTTCATTTCCTTGATATTTAGGACAGTAGTTAGAAAAACTACATGCACATGGGTGCTTCAAGAGTAACAACTCAACTCCCCCTCAGAATTTTTAAACAGCTAATAATGAAAATTTGGTGAAGCATTTACATGTAAAGAAAAAAAATGTAATTAAATATATTTGTTTCTATTCAAAGGTAAAAATGTATGAATTACCTTTTTACTTCTTTGGCATCACTTGCAATGAAGAATCCTAAGGTACCTTCTTGAATCTTGACGTGGTTTCCAGGATTGATTAATATACTGCTCAGTGAAACAAGAACAAAACCAACAAAACAATAAGTTTATATTAATTTTAACTGAATCTTCCAAATTAGGTTTATTTGATTCTGTTATAGAGGACCCACTAGTTAGGAAAGACGGCAAGGAAATTTTAAGCCATTCTTCCTTGATATTTCCAATCAAATAACAGTTTCACATGCTTTTTACAAAAACTTTAGTTTGACACAATAAAATGCCTCTGCCTATAATCACATCATCTAAGTGCTTACATGTGTTTTCTTATCTTTTTGCTTTAAATATAGACTACATAAAATCCTCTCAGAAACGTGAAGTGTGAAGTTGAGCATTGCTGTTTGCTTGCTCTGTCATGCAAAGTGGTGAGAAATCCACAATATGGTGAAAAGGAAAGAACCATCAACCACCACTCAGTAACAACAAAAAATATCACAAAATTAAACCCTTTGATGTAAATTTTTGCCAGTTTCTAGTGAAATAGAAAGTTAATGGGACCCCTATCTGGACATACAATGTTATTGTTTAAAATAATAAATACACACATACACTCAAGGGGAATGGTACAAGACAACCAGTCACGACAGCTGAAAAAACATAAAATGAATAGAAAATTTTTAAAACACTGCTATGTAGCCATGAAAGAACAAAAATAACCCAACCACCATGACAGAAGAGCCTTAGCTAACTTTGCAAAGGAACTGGTATCAACAAGTGAGGTATTCCATGTCTATGAAATATATTCTTTATTTTCATAATAATTTAGGCTTTAGGTAAGGTGTTCTGCAAAGTACCAAGCTAAATATGAATATACAGATAGAGATAAATATAAGTATATTCTCCAGTAAGTTTTAATAATGTGTAATATATCCTGGCTTTTGACTCTCTACAACTTAATATACCTTTTCAAAAGTTTTCTCTTTTTTGTATTTTATTTAGCTTTTCTAAGTCAAAATGTAGTAATGGTATGCATATGAAATTTAGAGTAAATAAAGACTACTAGGAATTTAAACACTTGTCCATCTAGAAAAAACTGATTTTAGGGAAGAGGCACATATACAAAAATAAATAAAGCACAATGCTGAACAGACATACATTACTAAAATTTGATGGTCCAAAGTCTTTCATGCTATTGTTAGGAGGCAAAATGAATCTCAGTACATCTCTTATTCAATATGTTATTTATTCTCTACAAATTAGGAATAAATTAGTATGACAACATAATATATCTGAAAGATTAATAATGTGCACATTGTTTTGTGTTATTCCACATGCCTGCAAGGCCCTATGACAAGAATATGCAGGCCACAAAATAAAGTGCTCATGAGTTCAGAAGTAAAAGGTTGGTCATGAAGTCGTATTTCAGCCCCCATTATGTAGATCTTATGATACAGTTTTAATTTAATACCCACAAACTCCTTCCTTCCCACAATCTGAAACTTCAGTCAGTGGTGTTTTACTGCCATTACTTCAGGCACGGCTTCATGTAATTTATCACGCCTTAAAAACAGCATCATATTTTTCTTGTGTGTTTTTCTGCAATGTTCGTCACTACCACATGCAAAAGAATCACAAAATCGTAATTTCTTTTACAGGAAGAATGAAGATATAGTATTACCCCATTTTGCAGAGGAGAGATTAAGTCACTAGACATATAGTACTTATTAATTTGGGATGCCTACAGCCCAACTTTTTCTAAGTGTTTAGCATTGCATAACTCCACTCTACACTTTCTAGAACTTTTGCTGTGAGAATGCTCAGTATTTCAAAAAGCCTAGCCTCTGACTCCCAAAATAATGAATATACTTAATAAGAGGTCAGCTAGAGAAGGTTTGGTTTAAATTATTATCTTCTCTCTCAGATAGCCTGTGTAGGAGGCTGGAACAGAAATAAAATCTCAAAGAAAGCATCTACCCAGATATCCTTCCCTTTCCTTCATTCACAGTTTCAAGCTTTGCAACAAATAAAAAGGAGAGGAGAACTGCAGGAATTGGAAGGTATCACCATAGAAAGCAGGTTCATCTCCACAGCACACTTTACTAGTATTTGCAAAAAATGAAATGTGAAGGTATAAATAACATCTGTATTACACACACAGAAAAATGGGATGAAATAAAGTTATGCAGCTAAACTAGTATCATCCATCATTAACTGGTATCATCTAGTGTCATATCTAGTATTTCTTAGTGATTTGGGCCTAATGGCTGCAGTTGCAATGAAATGGAGTTTTAAAATGCAATTTTACAGAATCAAGATGGAATCAAATAGGAGAAGAGGGAAAAAAAAAACAAACTACCACATAAGAATTTCTTCATATGAAACCAGTTACTCAGGTCAAAACAGGTTGGAAAATTTTGCTTTCCTGCACAAGCTCTTGTCACTTGAACCCAGAAAGTATTTACTAGCACTTGCAGGGTGCTGCACTGGCCATCTTAGTCTCCACCTTTCCTCCTCTCTGCCTGCTAGTATGTAATAACCTGCCATTACACTGAGAACTTAACTGCTAAACTGAAAAAATCTTCTATAGAGGCTAATCTAATGTATTTATTATACTATTCCTTATAAAATACGTGAGGTCTTGGGTTGGCTGTTTTTTTTAGGTACAAATGGGTACTGCTCTATCTGAAAAATACTTTTTATTTCCTTACTTGATTCTTAAGTGACATAAGTGTTACAGCTTTTCAGTGAAAACAGATGAACACATTTCTTTACATAGACCCAGGCTGGTTTTTTTTCCTTCTTGGATATAGATAAACTATACCAAAGAGTCAAAATCCTACCCAAACCTCAACAACCCAAACTCCACAAACTGAGGTAACCACTTGATATAGAAATGTTCACTTCTCATAACGAAACTTAAAATTTGATGAAGAAATAAGCAAATGAAGCAGTTCTTTTGAGATGCATGGAACATAGTCTTAAATTAGAAGTAACTGGCTTAATTTAGGATGCAAAGCACTGTGAGCATGATTTTGTATCTCAAGGTTTTCTGAGACACATTAAATCAATTCACATGGGTCAGTGTACAGACTTTATTTTTGTCAGATCTTATACTTCATTCACATGTACCTCTTTTCACAAATACAATGTGTTTATAACCACAAAATACAGAAGTGGTCACAGGTAATGTAGTATGAGCCCAGCAGCAAAATCTTCTGTTGGAAATGAAAATTAATTTGCCCCATCACTGTCACTGGCTCATAAAGCTTTGGGTGTATATACACACTGATATATAACCAGGGCAAAATCATGAGCAATTTCTACTGAGCTCTATGGATATATTAATTATACTGCTTATTAAAACTGCAACTGAATTATTTCTTATGACACCTGTAGTGTCGTTAGCTGAAGTTATGCTTTGATAAGCACTCACTCTAATATTTACAGCAAGGGTAATGTTTTGAATTAAAATAGAATATAGGGCACAAACAGCACAGAGAAAAAAAAAGTCTTCTGAGTATTCCAAGAAAAATGCATCCATCAGAGACACATGTGGTTTTTTTAATATGAAAAAATGCATATATATATATCCCCATAGTTAAGAATATAAGTACATGGCAAAATAAACAGGAGTTTTAAAAGAGACAGCCTCAGCTGATGTCTCATTTTAATGTATCTCCAAGGCTGCAAAGGAAAAGAAAAAAAGGACAGAAACTCAAGAGGTTTAATACCAATAAATATAGCTAATCTGTACGCATTCTGTGCCACACATTAGAAAAAATATTACTGAAAATGACACTGATTTTTCCAAATACATGTTTTTAATCGTAAAGCACAATTTGATTTTTTTATCTCCTAAATCAGCTCATGAAACCAAGCAAGGAAGGCCAAGTACTTAGAAGCTTGTAAGGTCTTGATCAAACTTTGTAATTTTATAACATTTCTAGTTTAGGTTACCTCAGAAAGTAATCAAGCAATAACAAACTCAAGAACATTTAGTCATAAATTTCTTTAACTATTTCAGTTCCAGAAATACATTCCTCAGGACAAAACCTTTCATGGCAGGGCTTACATGACTGCTTGCTTCTTCACACGTAACTGTTTAGGACACATGGCAGTTAAAACCATGTGAATTAAATATGATTTAATATGTTCAGTGGGAATTTTATTTACTTCACCACCATAAATTTATGAAAAGTCACTTCCATTTCTTTTCGATGATATTACAATTAGGAAATCACTTGTGGAATAGAATATGCACTCTGGAAACCTTTGTTTTACACTTATCTGCAAAAGCTACCCCATTTGCTAAGAAAGATTCACTTGGTGAGTAGATGCGAGATCATGCATCTAACAGCAGTGAAAATGTCCCACACTGAAAATGTGGAAATCACCCTTGAATTCAGTCAGACTTAGGAATCACAGACTGAATCACAGAATGGTTTATGTTCAAAGAGACCTTTTAAAATCATCTAATTACAACTCTCATGTCATGGTCAGGGATACTTTTCACAAGAACAGATTGTTCAAAGCCCCATCCAATCTGACACTGAACACTTAAAGCACATGAAAGAATCATAAATATTATCCACACAGCTGAAAATGAGTTCCCAGACTGACAGAAATAGAAGTAGGTGTAACACAAATGGAAATCAGTGCACATTTGAGATGCACAGTTTCAAAAAATAAAAAATAATAAAAAAAAAAGATTGAAACAAGGTCACAGAAATTCTAGACAAACGTTTATGATTTTCTTTACGCAGATTGTTCAATGAAAATTTCAGATTTTTCATATGACAGTGGAGAATAGACATCTGATCATATTGCTCACTGTGTGCTAATTGTGATCAACATTTATTGGATTGTATCTTTCTGATGGTTTAAGTATACATGCTACCTTTAATAAAATACAGATACATGAAAATATCTGTTCATCCATTCTTATCTACCTGAAACTATTCCAGAACATGAACACTGCTCAATACAATTTTTGGTAGTGCATGGATGACTGACTGCATAAGACATGAATATTCTGACCTAGCTCAAGCATACCATATTATATCTTCCTT